AAATAAATATGTGTAATAAAAACGTTAAATAAACATTATATATTCACTCCATAATGCATTATTCATAACTTGCATATGAAATTGCCTCGGTCTAATAAATTTAAATAAAAATTTACAAAATCAGTACACGCCATATTGATTTAATTAATAAAAACTACAATTATCTGATCATTGTGGGTGTCGTACATGAAATAAAATAAAATATAATTTATAAAATATTGACAAGAATCGAATTATCAAAATGTTTTTCGGAACAGTTTTTCCCATCAAGATAAATAAAATTTTGTGTGGGTTCCAAATTTGTCAATAAAACACAATCAATCCTATATTTTTCACTTTTCTACCATAAACCCTTTTTAACTTCCCGTAGGGTAAGTTATAGTAATTGCAAAAAATTGAAAATGAAATTCTTATATATCTTTACGTTTCAGCGGTTTCAGAACATTTTGGCATACCTTAGAAAAAATGAATGTATGTGTGTGGGATACAAATTTTCGTCGACGATTTCGCGAACACGGTTCAACCCATTTGAGTAATTCAAAAAACATTCGATTCCTACCGATAAGGAGACTTGCTGATTAGTTTTTGGCAAAGGTAGGTGTAGCCGTTTCGGAGATAAAGAGCAAAGAGTGCAGAAAATAGAAATCAAGTTTTCGAGAGAACGGAGCATCCGATTTTAATGATCTAAAAACATTCAATTTGTAATGATTAAGAGAAGTGGTGATTAGATTTTGGCAAAGCCAGGTCCAGCCATTTCGAAGATACAGAGCTAAATGTATAAAAAATAAGCATTTTGGAAAAAAAATCATTTCATTTTTTTTTCCTTTGAATATCGAAAATAATTCAGATTTCAATTCTAATTCTGGTTAAAGTTTTTAAGCTTACTTATATACTTTAAGTGAATAATTTTAACTTTGTGATTCAGTTTATATAATTCTTACAAATATTAGCCGATATTACAGAATTTATAATTATCTATTTGAAAATATTTAATATCCCTCGAACATTTCGTTACGGTACGGAAAGTTCCAGCAATTTGCCTTAAGGCACGATGCCATACACCCACTAATGCACCACTAGTTACATATTGAATTTGCCGCCATTCTGCATTTCAAACCGCGACATGAAGTATCACACAATTCATTCTGACAGTTTATAACCTAGATAATACAATAATAATAATTTTAATTAATAAGATCGCAATTTTCGTCAAGCTCTTTTTCATTCGATGTTTGCTGCATAAGGTTAGTAAAAAAATATTAATGCATGATAAAACATTATTATACTACATGTTAACGTTCTTCTTGGCAATAGTTTCAAGTTAGTGCAAACAGCATAATTGTTTTACAAGACTCCTGACAAAACTGATGTCTAATTCTTAGCCAGGTCTTCGTCTAACTCTTTACTAGCATTATATATTGGCAACTGTTTATGCTGCTTCTTAAGCCAGTTATCAATTTTTGCAGGCAATCTTCATAGCGAGTAATTGTAACAAGGTGGTAGTTATGCTAGCTCTGAGAATTTCATGCACCTGCTCTTCAGCCATTTCTTCAAACTGTTTTGAAGTATACAACTGATAACAAGTACAATTGATTCCCAGCCAGTCTGACCTGCACGTTTCCAAGCTGGTGATAATTATATAGTCGTTACTTTCTTTTCAAGATCTCGAATCATGTGTACTTGTCTTCACTTTAGCAGGCCCCACAATCTGCTGGCTCTTCATCATGATATAATTTAGCTTTTTTAGAATTAGTAGAGTTTGCTTGGCTATGTACACCATTTGACTTAATATTAGATGTTGAAGTATTTTTTAGAATAAAAGTATGTGAATATCTTATATTTACTAGAATTAACTATTTCTTGGTATTTTGAATCCATTTTTTATCAGTTTTATTCAAAAAGAAGATACCAGACATTAGCATTAACTGCAGTCTCAACATTTTCTAGTCTTGATAATTGTTCTTAATATTTTTAACATTTCTAAAGTAGTAAAAGTTTTAAAAAGTATTCATATATTTATTTATTAATAAAATTATTAGGAACAGATTGAAATATGTATATTAACAAAAAAATACATATATATTATTTGGTTATTAATGTTTAAAATAATTTATTCATATAATAGTATAAAATAACAATTACTTAACATATACTTAAAAACAAACTATATTTAGGTCCAATTTAATTTACTATGCACAATTTAAAAAAAATGGCAGTGTTAAAATAATAGTTTTAATAATTACTATTTACAGTAAATTGTGAGTATCCTTATTTTCATTTTTTTTTTACAAATGTATAAAAGCACTTTTCATTCATAAAGCTAATTGTGTAATTATCTTAAAATTATAGGCACGGAATTAATTTAATTGTAAAAGTAGTAATTGAAATTGCTATACTATATATAGTAACTTCCTTTTGTCAGTTAATATATCATTTAGATTACATTCTTGATGTTTAAGTAAAAAATCTGAAGCTTATCAAATAATTTTATCTCTAAAAAGTAATACTTACCGCTATTGTGCCAATATTGAAATATTTCCATCATTACTTATCCTTTAAATAAATTAAATTTCATGAAGACTATCCTAAATTTTAAGTCCAGATGGATGTCGGCAGCATTCCTTCTTTGGAATAACCGGAAGGCGTCAACACTTCATTGGCAAGAAAGTTTAAGGGAAAGTCCACCAAGTTGCCCTGAAAACAAAAATAAATAGTAAGCCGAGGTAATAAAAATCAACAAAAATTAGTTGGACTAAATAATATGACTAAAACTCTCCTTGGACATAAGCTCTTTTAAATTAAATTAGACATCTTCAATTGAAATGAATAGGAAAGCTATTTCAATATCCAAGTGTGTGTGTAACAGTTTGTACTAGATTTTAGTAAATTTTATGTAGTTTTTACTAATGTGGACAAATTTAAATGTCCAAGATAAAAATTAAAAGTTATTTGAAGAAATGTACAAAAATGTCCTAAATCCATATAATGCAAGTTATCAAAATACTAAAGTTCTCATTCTACTACTAATTATACAAAATTTCAATATCCAAGTGTGTATAATAGTTCTTATCAGATTTTAGTAAATTTTATCTAGTTTTCACAAATGCAAACAAATTATAATGTCCAAGATGAAAATTAAAAGTTATTTGAATAAAGGTAAAAAAATGTCCTAAATCCAATTGCAAATTATGAAAATTTTATTTTATTATTTCTTGCCTGTAAATGAGTATAGCAAACATGAGCGGCCCTAGCAGGTTCCAATTTGGCCAAAGCCTGACCCACTTCGACTCTTTGATATCGAGCCAATTCCTTGAAGTCTTTGACTTGGTCAGTTGGAAGACAACGAAATACTGCTTCGTGCGTTTCTGTATTGTCTCTGGAGACTCGACGCCAGACGTCGTGCCAGAAGGCATCATGGGTTGCATCTGTGATATCGTACCTGAGATGATCCTGATCGGAATCCAAAAGACCTGGGAGGAGAAAGACACATAAGATGATATTTTTTAACTTATCGAAGGAACATATTCAAATCATGGAGCAATTCTGATGTAACAGAACTCATAAAATAGCGTTGTCATGGTAACGCTTTCTTATGCTTGTTCTTGGTATTGAAAATTATGAAAATGTCTATCTATTTGCCATGCAATCAGGCATATTTTACATATAAAGAAGCAAGGGATAATCTTATGATAACTGCACAATCTAGAATTCTGTTATCATAACATTATTTCTTGCTTATTATAATGTGATAGTTTGGTTGAGAATGGAAGAGGGGTAAAAGTACTAAATACTTTCTATAATATCATGATTTTATTTAAGTGTTTCAATATATATTACCTAGGTGCTCTTTGAATAAATGTTTTCTCAACGATCCTGCATAGACTCCACAAGGAAATACTTCTCCATTCATTGTACCTTCTTCAAAGGCTTCATCCTGAAAAATTTAAGAAGAATATTTGAGAAATCCTGCCTAAAAATATTATATCTATAATCAGAGTTATACTTTAAAAAGTTTGAGGTGAATTTTTGAGTATGTCAAGTTCAATTTTCAAATTTTATTATATATGTTTTTGAATTTCTTTGCTCCCAGGAGCTCAAATGCTTCCAAATTTATAAAAAACAATCTCTGAAAGTTTTACCTCTTAATATCAACTTTGAGATAGTCCGCACTCCAACCAAAGTTTCTTATGAAAATAACATAAGTAAAATTCCATTTGTTTTATAACTTAGCGACAAGTGAACCAAAATTTTGAGAATAACATTGAATTTGCTTATTTTGATCATGAATAAAAATTTTACATTAAAAATTTGATATATTTCATAACTTAAGTATTTACTTAGAAAAACAAACCAAGAAACTTTAATAGGAGTGCGAACTATCTTAGAGTTAATATTAAGAGCTAAATCTTTCAGAATTGTTTTTTTATCAATTTGGAAGCATCTGAGCCCCTGGAAGCAAGAAAATTCGAAAACATCCATACATAATAAGGACAACCCTAACATAGATATATATATATATATATATATATATATATATATATATATATTGAATAGTCTTGAATTTGATGTTGATATATATGTTTAACTTGAGTTTGATACCATGGATTAATAATGGTTTCATATGCTATATTAGGATACAAAATTGTAAGTGTTTTATTATTAGTATTATTATTATTGTTTTTCCATAAAATTTCCTTTCATATAATTTATTTAGTTTCAATTTTTATAGTTAATTTGATTACCACTGAATGATGGCTAAGATGCTAGTCGAAACGTATGGATTTTAAATGAATAAACTTTTAAAAAATCTCTCATACTATTTTTATTGATGTTACGCCCGAATATTAAACTCAAATTAAACATATATATATATATATATATATATATATATATACATATATATCTACCTGTATAATAACAGCCATCTCAGAGTCTCTTATCCCCAACATAGACCTATCATTGATGTTGGCCGATCCACAAATAACAGTTTTATCATCAGCAATCAGTAATTTAGAATGCACGTAGACAAGTTCTGTTACTGGTGCACCATCAATAGGTAATGCTCCATGAGTTCTTAATCCATGAAACGATACATAATCTTCTGGGTGTTCAATTCCTGAATCTTTTAATCGTTGTATGAGTGAATCCTTACCTCTGGAAAAGGACAATGATAATAGAATTACTTTCCAAACTGGTTGCTATTGGTATTTTGCTTTGAGGCAAGTTACATGAACTTCCCGATAAGTGTAAATAATCGACTTAATCAATAAAATTAAATTAATTTATGAGTGATTAAAAGTATTCCGAGTGGATTTAATTTTAATTTTAATTCTGATAAAAATTCTAATATACTTTAGACAAATAATTTCAACTTTGCAAATCAGTATATATAATTCTTATAAATATAAGACAATATTACAGTAATAATCTATTGAAAATATTTAATATAATTATAATGAAAATATTTAATAATTTGCCTTGAAGCACGATGCCACACACCACTAGTTAATTCTATTACTTAGATTAAAATTTTGTCACTTACCTGGATATGGACGCATAATTATAATGAGTGATGGCATGAAGTGATGCTCCAGAAGGTGCTCCAATTTCACCCTCAAAGGCAGGCAACAAAGGCATAACGACATAAACTCTAAATACAGCATTTTCTCTGAAACAATTGATTATTAAATATAAAAATACTTATACTTAATAAATATAATATAATAATCTAATGCAACTTCCCAAAGAACAAATTTATGTTTTTGACAAAAAATATTTATTCGACTTTAGTAAAAATTATATAAAAGTTCAAAGTTGAATTTTCACCAGCCATTTGTGTTACAATTTTTTTTTTATATTTACCTGTGGGCTCTCATAATTCTTTTATACAAAGCTTCTCCAATTTGGTTCTTAACCCTTGAATCATTGCCCATAGCAAGAGTGATGAAAAATTGATTCTCAATATAAATATAGTGCTGAGCCCTCGATATTGTTTGAACATAAGCCTCATGAATGCTCTGCTCGACATGGTCGTGTTCAAGAAAACCACAGCTCCAGCAACTTGCACTCCTTAAAACCTGAAAAAAGAAAAAGTAAAATAGTTGTAGTCTAAAGAAAACTAGTGGAGTATGGCATCGTGCCTTAAGGCAAATTGCTGGAACTTTCCATACCAACAACTAAATTATTAAAGAAAACTTTGCAAAACTTTGACAAAATTAGATTTCTGAGCAATTTTGAAATTTTGGAAAATAATTGACTCTTGAAAAATTTGATTTTTGTGCGCCCGAAAACGTAGACAAAAAATGGTCTCCACACACACATACATCCATTTTTTCTAAGGAATGCCAAAATGTGCAGAAACCTCTGAAACTTGAAGATATGCAAAATTTTTCATGTTTGATTTTCGAAAGTTAATTAATTGTGCATGTTAGAATAAAAAAAAGTCCATTATCCTCACCTGGCAAGTAACTTTATAAGCTCCTTCACCTACAATCTTCTCAAACTCGTCCTCAAGATCCTGGCTCCAAGCCCAGTCCCGATAACTTTTCGGAAGTAAATAAGGATACGAAGGATTCTCTCGTTGTTTCTCAAATTTGCAGACGTTCCAACGTTGGATAAAATGCCTTGCTGCATCCCTGGCTGCTGAACCACAAATTGACACGGCTATATCATGCCAGGGCATTCTGGGAGTGGTGCATCGATCAACCAAATCTTGGGAAGAAAATTCATACGTTTACATTTACATACAGAAGTGTTTGTATATAATATTTTTTATTTGTATCATTTATTACCGACGTATGGAAGATCCAAGTTTTCGAAATCCTTAATAATAAAATTGCAGTAATCTTTTCCAATCCAATATTTAGCTTGGCCGTCCAAACTGTTAACAAATTCATCGTGTTCGTTCTTCTTCGACAATTTTTTTTTGGATTTTTGATCACCTTTTTGGCCACCAGGGGAATCACTGATTTGTTCATTTTGCGTGTAGAATAAATTTTTGTCTAGATTCTTTGCGTCCAGATCATGGTCGGTGTTGAACATGTGGATTAGATCTAAAATGGAAAATGGAAAATGTAATTAGATTATTTAGTTTGTAGGGAAACATCTTCATGACAAACAAATTCAGATTCCTTGTCTGGAATTTTGATGAATCATGAGATGGTAGTCCTTGGAAAAAAAAAACACCATAAAGCATCAGAGGCTTTTAGGTGTACTTTTTATAACCAATGACTTCTCATATTTAATAAAATTTGTCATCACTTTTATAATTATCTATTTATCAATCAGATAGAAGAGTAAAATGGTAGTTTTCTTAAAACAATTTTTAATCAACCAAAAAAATTTTCAGAGAAAACTATAACTTGATCATCTTTTTCTGATATATTACATTAACTTTCGAAAATAAAAATTTTCAACTTTTCATAGAATAAGTTATAGTAATCGCAAAAAAATCGAAAATTAAAATTTTTATATATCTTTACGTTTCAAAGGTTTCTGAATATTTTGGCATACCTTAAAAAAAATTGATGTATGTGGGTGTGCCATGCATCACTAGTTATATCTTTACATTTTACCTTTTCCCTTGTCTTTGATTTTTTCCAAAACATTCTTCCTTTGTGCTTCTGGGGTGTTGCACTTCGGCTGTTGCTTTTCCAAAAAACTTGGCCTTTTCTCACCACTCAACATCATCAATCGATCATCAGGCGATGTGAATTTATCAGGAGGTTTTGTTATGAGAAGTTTATCGCCTGGTTCTAATACAGGAAGCTTATCGACACTACTACTGCAAATTATAAATAAATGGATAAATAATTCCGTCTACTAAATAAATGGATAAATGTTTCCATCTCCTGGATAAATGAATAAATATATTTTTTCAGAAGATGAAAATATTCATCCATTTATTTTCGTCTACTGATACCGATATTTTAATATTCACCTTTCTGAATTTATAGTGTTAACAAATGCAGCACTGATATCCTTAGTCGATTCCGCTAAAGAGAGTATTGTAGAATTTCTGTTTCCAGTAGGTGTCGTATTTGGAAAATTCTTGCCACTAAAACTAATTTTACTCGTAGATGAACTGTTAGTTCTATCCAAAAGGCTCTTTCCATTATTTTGGAGTGTTGCAGATTGGGAGACACTGCCCATATCTGTTAGTCTGAAAATAACAATAAAATTAATCGAGAAGAAATTTATGTTAATGGAATAATTTTGTTTCAAGATATTCACCTGTGTTTATGATCATCCCATCTTCCATAACATAAATCTATACCTCCCAGGAAAGCTATGGACTGGTCAACGCAGACTAATTTTTCGTGATGAGCCCATAATAGAACACCAGCACTGGCGTGATCTGGATGTCGTATAACCTATTGAGAGATTAATATAAAATATTATATAATAATTTAAAAATTATTATAACAAGGTATAGTTCATTAACAAAATTTTGTTCTATACAAATTTACTCTATACAAGTAAATATTAGTCTTCGATAGTAACTACCAAAAATCTTTTAAGTACTTACTTTAATATCACTATCTTCGACTAGTTTCTGTTTGCTGTAATAGCTGTTTATTCCTAAAGCCATTTCCACTTCTTTGTAGAGTAAAACAAATATTTTCACACCTTGTTTCTAAATAAGAAAGAGTTTAATTAGAAATTGATTTAAATAATATTTAAGAGGGCGTCCAATAATCACGTGATCGATTTTATAGGAATTAAATTTTTGAGAAGGCAGGTCCAGCGGTTTCGGAGATACAAAGAAAAATGTAAAAAAACTTGATATTTGCTGGTCTAAAATAATCATTATGCACATCTAATTATCAGATGTTTTATAAAGATTTTAAACATGATTACTAATTTTGTTACAATTTTTTTTTTGGGTTCCGTAGCAAGATTTCTAATTTTCAAAGTTCACTTATATGGCTCAAACAAATTTCAAAATTTTCAGAAAAAGAAATTCTCAAAACTTAAAAAAATATACGAAGTTTTATACTTTAAATACAAGTTTTAAATTTACAATTCTGTTTAAAAAAGTATATATGTATTTTACATCGTAAAAAAATATCCTCAGATGGATTCATTCGGCATATCTTCTTAATGTAAACATTCTTATGTGATTTGAGCGATAAGATCGTCACTGTACATTATATGAACTGATACATATATAGTAAATATATCTTTGAAAATATTTAAAACAATTATTAATTATTGATCAATATTTACTTCTTATTATTACCACTAGTTAAAGAATTCAAAATGGTTGATCCATGCTCTCGAAATCGTCGAAGAAAGATAGTATTCGCACATATATACATACACACATACATAATAATCAATTTCTTCCAAGTTTCATTCAACATTGGAATGTAAAGATATCCTAAAACTTTAATTTCTTATTAACTTACCGACTTCCGCTTGAGTATTTTATCCAATCTCCAGTAATCTCCACTCAGTGCAGGCCTCTTCATATAAATTTCTGGCGTCAACCACCAATCTGCTATGAAAATTTCTTCTTTGGCTCCATCTAAAGCATCGGCTACATGGCACATATAATCACTGGCATCTGCATACCATCGAGAACTTATGGCATTCCTGACTGGTGCAAAAGAACCATGAGGGTTGGGTGATGTAAAATCTCGAGCTAAAAAAATAAAGGATATTTTTTATACATATCTGGTAATTATAAAGAAATGACTCAGTCAATATGTACAAACCTTCATTGTTTGCTATAATTTTGAGATGATTCATCCACTCCCTGGCTTTCCTCCTGGTCCACAATTTGATGACCATTTGTCGATTGCTGTTTATAATTTGAAGACCGTTTCGAAGACCAGTTGAGTACATGCCTGAAGAAACTTCAAAACTTTGGTCAAACAACATCACGGACCTATAAAGATAATAGATATTGTTATTTATAATAAGACTAGCAAACCCGACGAACTCCGTTTCGCCACAAGATGGTTTCGTGAGAAAGATGAAGAAATTTTTTGTTTGTTTTATATTTGAAAAGTAAAAATTTGATTTTATTATACAACAGTAATGAATTTATTTCGATTACAAAAATGAAGTGTTTTTTAGTTGAACTTCTCTAAGTAAATGAAAGTGAATCCGCAAATTATCCGTTTCATTGAAGTGCTCTTTGGTAAACCACATTTTTTGTTCTTTGGTCTGGCGTTAACACAAACAAAGCGGATGGTTTTCCAACTCGTGAACAGGCAACATATAACTGCCCATGTGAAAAACAATGATTTTCTAAATAATCTATTTGAAATTTATCCCGCAAACACTAAGTGATTGGCCTTGCGACTTATTATTGCGAACGCAAGGCGAACTGAAAATTGCAATCATTTGAAGTCAAACGGAAGACCAGTCAGAATCATTGGTATGTCACCAAATCGCCAGCAATTTTTTATTGAATGGTGATATTCAGTGCGTGTACATCATTATTCTTTGCGGCAAGAATTGCTCGTTGCTTTAACCAAGCATAATTCTGATAATTCTCACTAATGTCATTAATCGAATTTTTAATTACGGTGCGTGAAATTCCAGCAGCTTGCATTAAGGCACGATGCCGTGCACATTTAATTTTCTTAGCTATAAACCTTGCGGAGCCCGAGACCTTTCCAACGAATGCAAAATTCGTCGAAATCGGTTTGTGCGTTCTGGAGTTAAATCGTCAGGAAGGAAAACCCGACTTATTTATATATATATAGAAGACAAACGTGTCTTTAGATTTTTTCTATTACTATTACCTTACTGTGCCATCCTCCGGCCTGATGTATCCAAAACAAGAGTCCTTGGCAAAAAACCACCTAGTCTTCCATTTGGCGCACACGACATCAGTGCAAAAGTAATTGCACCTAACACAAACTGTATTTTGAGCAAGGCCACAACACGTGCAACCTGACTGTCCAGGTTGAGTTGATCCTGTCCTTTTTAGAACCATACCTTCTTTTCCTTTGTCGCCCAGATCTCGGATGAACGACAAATTGGATACTTCTAGGAAAGCTACCTGGAAATAAATAATAGAAATGGTATACTGTTATTAAAGTTTTTTTATTTCACTCACAGTTTCATGATGGTTTCGATAAAAGCTTATGTTAAGAAGATTGTAAAGATAGTCCTCGAGTTGTCTCATCCTGTTCTGAAGACCTTCTTCGCCTACAAGTGCTTCTGGTCTATTCGGAAACCTGGGTAATGCTCCTCTTCTTCGTTTGGTTTTGACTTTATTTGTTTCTGTACCTAACATATGACTAGAAAAGAAAAAAGCAAAATTTAAATTTAAGATTTAAGGAAATCGACTGTTTTTTTTTATTTATTTATATATTATTTTCATATCTCAGTCAGACAGGGGTATCTGGTATGAGAGATTATGAAACAATTTTCTTATTATATATATACATATTATTGGTCTATTATACTACAATATAATATTTATTATAATTAAAATATCTATTCAATCTTCAATTTCCTTATAATATTTCTTTATTTTTCTTAAAGTTGAGTTTACAAAAATTACCTGTTGAGTGTGTTTTTAAAAGATGTCCTTCGTTCTTTGTGTGTTTTTGTAGGAAAAGGAATATTTAAAGATGCTCTGAATAATCTCAATTGCTGATGAAGATGCTGAAAGTGTTTGTACCTTTTTCGTATCTCCCATTTGAATTCGCCATGCTGTAGTAATATCGTATATCTAAAATATTTTAGAAAATCATATCATATATAAAAAAAAATTATAATTTTCTATATCATAACATTCTTCCTTGCTTGTTTATATGTGAAATAGATAAGCATTTTCATAATTTCCAATACCAAGAACAAGCATAAGAGAACGTTGCCATGATAACGCTATTTTATGAGCTCTGTTTCGCCAGAATTGCCCCATTTATCTATATATTAAATTTGAAATGTACCATTTATTTTTTTCTACAACTTTGATATTAAAATTGTATTATCTACAATTTGATTTAAACTCTAAAATTTTAAATAATTAAGTAAAGAATTAAAATACTAGACAAACCGAATTAACTTATTGGATATAAATACAAAAGTTGTGAACCACCATATAATGAAAACTTATAAATTATATAAATTTACTATCACTGATTTTAATGTTCTCAATTAAGGAGTAACAGCACTGTAAACACAAAAAATATTTTCAATTTTTTAGAGAAAAATATTTCATACCACAAAGTATTTTTTTCTTGTAGTTGCTGTAATTTCGTCATTTTTGTAGATTTTTATATAATGATTTTTAATTTTGTTACTCAAATATACCATCAATACCTCCTTTTAATATTATAAATTTAATACTTCTCCTCTCGTCCAAAAATTTTTTCCAAAAAACAAGTTTTTTCAAGCCGTTACTACAGTACTGTTACCCCTTAATAAATTATACTTATTATTAAAATTAGTATTGATCAAGTTAATAAATTATTATCAAATTCGGATATTTGAATAGATACGCCCATAATTTAACTATGCAATTAATTTAAATTCTTATAATTACGTTTAAGTACGTTTAAAATTATTACTATACATATTTAACAATACATCAATAATTAAAAAAAAATACCATCTCTTTACAATCCCATTTCAAAACCAGATTTCCGATTTACAATAATATTTTATAAATAAATTAAAGAGAATTAAGATATTTAATAATTGCAGTGATTATTTTTACTTACAAATTAGGATTAAGCATATGGGTCGTCACATTTCTTTCAAAATCTGTAATCTGTACCAAAATTTCTACTCCTGGTATGAACACCTTTCGTTGTATCGACTTAAACTTGACAGGAGGCAGATGTACAGCACTAAATGGAACTGAGTTTATTGGCTCTGAAAAAAAATCCACATGAAATGAAAATTTGTTTTTGTTTAAAGTTTTAACTAAGAAAAATACAAAATTGTTTTTTTCGTTTTTCTGGTATTTTTTACCTGCAGGATTGTCTACAACCGATTTGCCTTCTACTAAAACAGGAACATCACCGGCCACCGAAATAACACTCAAAGAATCAGGTACTGCCAGAAATTCATCATATTCTGATTCTCCTGAAAATAATTAATTAAAATGCAATTTTTTGGCTAAATTAAAGACGCAAAAATTCATAATAGTTATATAAATGGTCTGCAAGCAATATTCAGTGACTTCATCACAGAAGGGGGGTGCTGTGGCGATAAAAGACTGCGATGACTTATACAGAAAAGGAAAAGAACTCATAACAACCAAATATGTTTTTGACCATAATTTTTTACAGTTCTTGTTCATTTATATAATAATTTATTTTTACCTGTGGGTGAAAGAGGTTCCACACTCAAAGCGAACCCTTCGGCTGGTTTTAAATCCAGGTCCTTGGGAACCTCTGGATCCAATCCTGTAAATTGGGAGTCCATATCGGGGTCCCTGAAAGCCCCTTCTATAAAAACAGAGTCAGTGTCGGCAAGTGTCAAGGTAGGGTTGTCCAGGCCGCCTTCAATTTCTGTCATATCTAGAAAAGGAAAAAATTATTAAAATATCAGTAATAATAATTTTTAAATTTTAATTAAAAAAAAATTAACATCAATTTTAACTTAACGAGTCATATGAACTGTTGTTCCTATCTTTATTATATTTTTATCTTTTATGTTAATTTATTAATACAATTTCTGTAATACAGAGGATTTAAGGGAAATATCGCTATCTATACTGCTGCTTGACATCAGGCTGTCTAATGCGAAATTTGATAGATTTAGCTACCTGAGTTTTTAAATAATTTAAAATTAAAATAACCGATTAATTAAAATGAAGAGATGTAGATAAATTTTTATAATAATAAGACCACATTTGCAGTAAAAATTAATCATTCCAAATAATGAACTCGAGTAATCATATATGTCACGTTCAAGTATGATTAATGAATATATAAACAACAGAATATATAAACATGGAATTCTCAAACATATATGTTATTTAAAACACTGTTTCCCAACCTTTTGTAAACCACAACAAAAATTATAAAAGTTCTATACTTCTATACATCTATTTTAATCTAAACAAATTGAAGTGATAAAAATAAGAAATATAAATAATGAGAAAAAAAATAGAAAAATATAAGAAATATATTTTGTTTTTTCAAGAACTTATCTTTCTTGTTAAATTTTTATATATTTAAGAATTTAAAATCGGTTTAGTATTTTAAGAGTTCATCTGGAACCAACATAGTGAGACGTAATTTTAATATATGCAAAAAACAACTAAAACATTATATTTCTAAATATATTTGATAGACCTCTATACGTTTCGATTCCCAATTTGACGCTTCATCAGTTGTATAAATAGATCGCAAACACGACTGCAGTGCCATTACTTCAATTTTAATTGTTTTCCCACTTTGCAGGGGCGCCACTAACTGTAGCACGTAAATTTACCCCTAGGTTTAATTCTAGACAAGATTCATATAAATATATTAGATGACCCGACGCTGTCTTGCCAAATATCCAATGCCAAACAAATGAATTTTGACACATGAAACAAAACTCTAAATCATTTTTTTGTTTATTTTTTGTATTGTTAAATAATTCAGTAAAATAAACCAAAATGCAACATGCATAAGTTTATGTATATGCAAATTTGGACTTATTGCTTTATTTATCAAACTGAATTATATAATCATCTGCCAAAATATAACTGTTGACTGTTTCTTATATTATAATTTCTGGCACATCTCAACTGCTTTTCGGCAACGATAATGTAGACATTACATTTTCTTGTATATTATATTCTAACATTATCTAGGCTCCATAATTCCAGCTAAATTCAAATTTCAAGTGAATTGACATTTCTAGCAGTGAATGAGTCCAAACCAAGATAAGTGATTTTTTGTAATTTTTGCAATTCATTTCTACAATATTACTATAGTTTTATAGTTCAATAAATCTTAAAAAATTTCTATGACAAACTCTAAAAAGAATTATCAAAATCCGAATAACCGTATAGGAGAAGTATCAAATCAGTCGACCCTCTGTTGAGTGCGGAAGACACTAAAACAGGTTAAACCACATTTGTTCTCTATTATTATTTAAAAACATTCGATATTCGAACAAAACGAATTTAATTGTCAAATAAGTTACGATATTTTTCTTTATTACTATTATTATTTGAAATTATGCGTTATGCATCATATTTATCATTTTTAATTTATGAAGAATTGCAAATTCTTAGATAATTACTATGAACATGTGTTGTTCCTAGAATAACTTATGATGCAAGTAAATTAAAATAACACATATGATATTCAATCAAGATTCCTGTAACATTGTAGACAATTTACTGAATATTTTAAAATAATTAAGATTTCACAATGTGGCTTTGACGAATTTTGCATTATTATGCGAATACACAGAACATGAAAAAGTATAATCAATGGTAATGAGATTTTAGTATAAAAGAGTAGATTTAAGAACGAACTCTCCCATAAAATAGAAATGTTAAGATAATGATATTTTGTGGGTCTATCTTCGTAAGAGTTGGTAGTAACCAATTGTCAAAAAGCTAAGTATTTGTTGTACTATCAGATGTTCCACACATAAAAACTAACCTACAAATAACAATTTCATCACAAGTGCATCTTTCTGATGATAACACATACGTGAAGTTAGGCTTTATTGTGTGAAACGCCTGATCGACTTTAATTTTTCGACATTAATACACGAAGTTAAGCTTTTTGAGAAATTTTACTACCAGTTCATATGAATGTAGAACCATAATATAGCGTTGCCATAACATTTCAATTTTATCCGAGAATTTTTGACTTATTCAGTACGATTCTCAACGAATAGACTTTTTGAAATCTGTTCAGAATTTTTGTATACAAAGTGAATGACAAATATCAAGAAGTTGATAGAGAACATTCAAAAGAAAAGGATGTGATATAAAAATTGATTTAAATGACTAAATGATTGTTTTCAACAGTATATTGCTTATTGGAGTAATTACTACAATTTGTTTTTTTATTTCTTTATTTTTCTTTATTTGTAATTCATTTTTATTATCGATCTATTTTATTATTATTATTTTTTATTATTGTGTGTAATTTAACCATACAACTCATAGGGTCTGTAAATAACTCTGATTGCTCTATAATATGGAATGAATAAAAAAAAAGACTAAATGCTATATAAATATAGATAGAACATCTATTAATTACCAGAGGCTCCATTTTCATGTAAATTAAATACGTGGACATCATAACAAATTACTTCAATCGATCTTGCTCGATTAGAACTTTGTTATACTTCTCTAATTGTTATAACTTTACATTCACAACTACAATAAACCAAATCATAATACCCATATATTATTCCACATATTTTTATACAAATTTAACCATTTTTTTCGCCAACTTGCGTCACTTGACAACAAACTTATCACGAAAACTTCCACATAAATTTTAAACAATTTATTAAAATTACACGGTTGAAACACTTGCACGCAAAATCTGAACTTTGCATGTATCATGATCAAAAACAATAATTGAAAAGTTATAAATAATATAAATTATTTTGAATATGTTATTGATATTTAACTTTTTGTTTGTGAATGAATGATTTTAGATGTCTGTTTGAAAGTTAATGAAGATTTTACAAACGAAGACGAAGGCCGGCTGTGTTACTAATAATTCCGATGTTATGACATATACTAGTAAGGCGAGAGAGTAGAGTACGTAACCGGAATGAAGAGAGCCACCGATTCTCAATATTTATAATATTAAAAAAAAAACTAGTGGGGCCACATGGCATCGTGCCTTGAAGCAAATTGCTGGAACATCCCGTACCGTAATTAAACATTCGAAGAATCAAAATGATCAGTCAACAAAAATGTCTATGAAAAAATATTATAAAAACTAGAATTTTCATTATAGTGTTTCCTTGTAGACAAATGTGAAAAAAACTTATTGATTAGACGACGTTGTTTATATATGTTTGAATGAGATAGATATAAAACAAAAACTAATTATGCACACTTTTTGTTAGAATCAACATATTTATTTCAAATGCATCAATTTTTCGTTCGAAAATATATGCACTGAGTTAACAATTTTAAATAGTTCATGTAGTATCAACGATACAAACATAAAAAGTATTTAAAAGGGAATTTAAAAAATATTACAGACGCGGCCAACCAACTCAGCTATAACGACATGATCACGCACAACGCTATGAGCGAATGTCTAGAATCTAATCGGAATTTCTGCAATTTTCGCTCTGTATCTTCGAAACGGCTGGACCTGCCTATACCAAAAACTAATCAGTACGTCTCCACATCAATACGAATCGAATGCTTTTTAAATCATTCAAATCGGACAATTTGTTCTCTCAAAACTGCCATTTTTTGCACTTTTTGCCTTGTATCTTCAAAACGGCTAGACCAGCCTTCGCCT